TTTTCGCTTGCTGCTTTTCGTTGTTGTATCCACGGTAATACAATCACGATAGATAGAGATATATATATTATATATATACTTCTTAAATTACACAATCAATGTACAAAAAACCGGGGTGCATTGCTGAGACAGGTGGTTGGTTGGGGTTTTTCTGACTTTTTTTTGTGGTTTTTTTTTCCCGTTTGCGTACCTGGCAGGGGATGCGGGGCCGGGCGGCTCTCGCCCACCGTGCCCAGCACATGGTGCATCTCCTGCCTCCGCGGAAACACTTGATCCCTGGGGCCAAAAAATTCACAAACCAACGGAGGGAGCAGGAGAGGAGCGGGAGGAGCGTGCGGGAAGATGATGGCATCGATGCTGCCAAGGGTGATGGTATAGAAAAAAATGAGAGATGATCTGTAGGGAAGAGCTCGGGATGGCAAATGTGCCCCGGGCAGAGGGGTTGGGGTGACCATGCTGGGTGGCAGCGCCCATGGGTGCTGCGGGGGTCCCGTCCACGCCGCGGCTGGTTGCAGAGCCCAAGTGCAGGAAGGATAGAGCCCCTTGGGGAAGAGCAAAGGGCAAAGCCTGCGGCCGTTCCCCTGCTTTGGCGTGTCTTGTTTTCAGCCGCCTTCGCCAGGCAGCTGCTTTGCTGCCCGGGCTGGGGTCTGCTGCCTGCACCGAGCCCTCCTCGTCCTCCGGCTGGCTGCAGCTCCTGCCGGCGCCACGCAAGGCTGGACGTTGCTTATCCCCCATCCCTGGTCTACTCCTGCCTCTCTTCAGGAAGGGGGCGGATGGGGACCGTCCCCAGCAGGATCCAAGCTGGTCCCCGCTATCCCAGGCTGGGCATGAAGGTGCTTCCAGCAGCACTGGGCTGCGGTGGGTCCTGCTCCGAACAGCGGTGGATTTTAGGGCCACCTCCCCCTGGATGTGGTGTGCGCTGGATGACTGCCCTCGCAAAGGGCGATGCTGCTCCCTGCAGCACACGCGGGGCATCAGCTCGGGAGCCTCCACCGACTCCAGACACGTTGGCAGCCTGGCCACGAGGAGGAGGAGGAGGAGGAGGTGGAGGAGGAAGCTGAGGAGATGCCACCAAGCTCCATGGCAGGGCTGGTCCCACCTCACCTGGGCATCTCAATCTGCCACCAGCCCTGCCCGTGAGCAGGGACCTGCCCGTGGATGGGGCCGGGTGACTATGGGGCAGGAGGGGATGTTCGTCCCCTTCCTTCGGGGTGGGAGGATGAACCGGGGAGAAGAACATGGAAACACCAAAAAAATGGAGTCAGACTCCAATCCCTCTCGGTTTTTTGGGGTGAATTTGATTGGTCCCAGGAGCTTCAGCGCCATGCATTTTGGAGCAGTTCCAGCCAATTGGAAGGCGGCTCATGATTTCAGTATCTTTAAAAACCAACCAATCAGGAGCTCTCACTGGTTGGGCTTTAAGATCTTGAGGTATCAGCTTTTCGCTCAGAAAAAAAAATCAACTAACGTAGACAAACGGACAACGTCATCTTTCGCTTCACATAATCTTAGAAGAAGAAGAAAGCGACTATGCAAAATACTCTTCAGAGACAACTCTTAAAAAAATAAAAGCTTGGTCGGAAAATATGTCTGAATCTCTAACTGTGAGGAGTGAAGGACCAGACGGCAAAATGGCTGGTTGGCTGGTGGAGAGATGGAGACAACGGAGGGTGGATTTATCTGCTGACGGCGATGAGGAGCACACCACAAGACTTAGATTGCCTCCACGTAGTTGGCGGGGTAGAGACCTAGCTGCCCGTTGTCCAAGCGCCCTTTGCACCATCCTTGCTCGTCTTCTTCACCAAGTTTGGTTAGTTCATCACCTGGGGAGGAAGGTGGGAAGGGGAGAGCTCATTGCAGGTGTTGGAGCCTCTTCTGTCCCCTCATTTCTCCCCTGGATGGAGCCGCTGGGGGTTTCTAGGACTGATCCTGAGCACGCAGGTTTGTAGGGTAGAAAGGCAAGGGGTGACCCATGAGACCTCACGTGCCCCATCCCACCATCTCTCCGGTCCCACCCGGGTTTGGGCTCAGCTTGTGCCTTCCCCTTTCTGCCAGTTCAGCATTTTGAAGGGCTGGGATAACCCAGAAATGATTTGAGGGATTTTACACCAAAAAGCAGAGCAGTGTGGGACCCGCAACTCCAGCAGATGAGCCCTGGCCGACCTGGCACCGGTGATGGACCGTACCTGCTTTGAAGCTGAGCTCATCCTGCTCCTGCCCATCGTAGTCGTACAGGGCCCGCACCCGCACGCCCTTCCCCGCTGACTCCTCGTCGAAGGGGTTGGTGCCGCCGTTGGCCTCGCTGGTGTTGAAGGAGTTGCTGCCTTCGTCGTCGGACCACTCGGCGCTGTAGGTCTGCCCGGGGTCATGGCTGCTCACGCTGGGGTGGGGGGAAGGAGGGAGAGGGGCCCTCAGAGCGGGTGGGGGACAGCGGCGGGGGGCAGGCACCGTGTGCCATGGACATCTGGGAGGATGCTGCGGCTTTCCCGAGGTTACAGGGGAGCGAGGGCTGCAGTGAGCCGGACCCCCAGCTAATGACATGT